AGACCAGCTTGGTCTAAAAAAAAAAAAAAAAAAAAAAAAAAAAAAAAAAAAAAAAACACTTTATTTTAAGGAGCTGGGAAATGGCTGCTCCTCTAAAGGGCCCATGTTCAGTTCCCAGCACCCACATGACACCCACATGACAGTTAACATGTCTGTTAACTCCAGTCCCAGGGAATCCAAGGCACTCTCTGGCCTTTCTTGGGCCTCATGCATGCATGTGGTGCACAGACATGCATGCAAGCAAAACACCTACACACATAAAATTTAAAATAAGAAAAATTACTTAAACCTATCATTAAACTATCCCACACACAGTAACTATTAATTCCTTTCCCATAAAAGCAGCAAGAACATGAAAGAATAGAAATAATGTCAATGGAAAGAAAAACCCAAGCCAAATGTTTGTAAAATTGCCTGCACACAGAAGTTCAAGCTTGCGAATACACCAAGCCTCAAACTGCTCAGTTTCAATTCTTTCCCAAACATCACCTGCCCCCTGGTGGCCGGCAGCATGAGTGCAAAGAAAAAAGGTGCCAGGTGTTATTTGTAGTCTGAAAGGATCAGCATAAAAGTCTGGTGCTTAAAATGGAACAATCCATAAGGATTAAACTTTAGTTAGCTTTTGCTGGTGGTGGTGGGGTTTTGGGTTTCTTGTTGGGGGGGTTGTTTTTTTGAATAGCAAATCTCTTAGCTGCTGAGCCATCTCCCTAGCCTCCATTTCCTCCTTTTAAAGAATTCTGAAAAGCATAAACAAGGCAATCTCTTCCTAGGCTCATTCTGATCATATATGCCCTAAGGCTGTGCTCTGTTCATTGGCTCCTAAATTTACACTCTTGTGTGTAAGCTCCTGCTCTATATTTGCCATCCACTAGGTACTTGCATAAAGGACAAAAGAAAAACCAAACCAAACCAAACCAAACCAAAACATCTGGCCAAACAAGAGAGTGCACAGTTCTAAGTCAGTTAACATTGTTTGTGTGTGTTTCCTAGCCTTAATTTTTTCCCTGTCTTGTTATGTGTTCACCTTATGCTATTGTAGCAAGAACAAAATCTACCCTCAACAAATTTTAAGCATGTGTGCCTGTTAACTACATATTTTGTAACAGTGTTGTAACAATGTCTTAATCTTTCATAACTGAAACAGCAACTTCCCATCCCTTGGCAAGCATCTGCCAGTGCCCAGAAGCCATCACACCTTCTCAAGCTACTATTCTGACTACTTTAGATACCCGAATGTAAACAAAGTCAGCAAGATTCCATCTTGTGCATTGTGTGCCTGTGAGTGACACACAGGCCACAGTGTGCATGGAGAGGGCAAAAGGAGGACAGCCTTCGGGCATCAGTATGCTGTTGTTCACTGTGCCTGTAGATGACACACAAGTCACAGTGAGCATGGAAAGGACAGAGGACAACCTTCAAGCATTAGTCTTTGACATCCACTGTTCAAGACTTTCTTTTTTCTTTCTTTCTTTCTTTCTTTGTCTTTCTTTCCTGATGTGTACAACAGGCTACCTGGGTCAGGGCTTGCAGAGATCCTTTTGTCTATCTCACTTCCTATCTCCCCGTAAGAGTGCTCAGATTAGAGATGCTCACACTACATGTCTTTATGCTGTCACAGAAGTACTTTCACCCACCGAGTCATCTCCTCAGCACCATTTCCTTTGTATAGTACTGTGAGTAGTATTTCACACTGTATGGACAAACCACATCTTTATCTCACAGTTATTTAAGCTAGTCTTACACCCAATAATTGGGGATAATGCTGCAAAGAACATGGGAGTTCTCTTCCACATCCTGATTTCACTTTGGCAGATCAGCCCTTATTGGGTATACAGCCTGCAGTCGGTTCCTTCCCTCTTGTAGGCCACCTGTCATGCTACTGTCTGTCTCCCTTGCTCTGCAGAAGTTGGCACTCTGTATAGTCTCACCTATACAGTTTTGCTTGTCTGGAGCTTCTGGTATGAAACCAAGAAATCACGATCAACCACAAAGCCATGAAGCTTTGTCCTTTCATTTCCTTCTAAGAGCTTTTCAGTTTCAAGTCTTATTTTAATCTGTTTTGAGTTGTTTTCTGTATATGAGGTGAGATGAAGGTTCAGTTTCACTTTGGACATAGACATCTAGTTCTCCTCACACTATAGTTCTTCTAACTGGGTATTTTGGGCGATTTTGTCAAAGCTCAGTGGACCGTATGCCCATGGGCTTATTTCTGGGCTGTTCCCGTGCATTGGTCTCTGTATCTACTTTTGTGCCAGTCCCACACCATCTTAATTACAAACTGATAGACTTGAAAGCAAGACATGATGTTTCCATCTTTGTTTCCCCCCTCATAAGATTGTTTCTAGCTATTTTGGGGTCTTATTTGGTTCCCCATGAATTTTGCCTACTGGGTTTTTTTTTTTTTTTTTTTTTTTTTTTTTTTTCGAGAGTGCTATGAAGATCAAGTGTGGTTATATTTTCTATTTTGACAAAACAAAGCTCAAATCAAATACTGTCATAGTTATTAATCTCTATTACTGCACCTGTGTTCCAGGAAAGACCATCTCTCTTCAGGGCTGTATTTATGGTGCTTTTGTTCATTTATACATGTAAAAAACCCTTCTGTCTGGAATACATTCATGTGCCTGGAGTGAAAAGATGTAGCTCCCGGCCAAAAAAGTAGCCGCTGTCACAGTAGGATTCACTAAATGATCCCTTCCTCCTAATGAGGCACACATTTTTCATGTATGTAAATGGTGTCTGCCCTTGCAGCAGGAGGGCAAAGTTGAGATCATGAACATGCAACAAGGAAAGATGGCAGGTGCACAGTGTGGCAGCATTTCATCACCTCCCCAGAGAAGGTCTGCCGCCCTCAACCACCTCCCAACACTGGAGAAAGGAGAGGCAGAAAGCCACGGGCTATATTTATGAGATGGCACAGACGGAACAGGCATTTCGACTTCCAGGGCAGACATCATGGCACCTCACGGGGATGGTGTACAAAACCAGAGAACTGGATAAACCCAACTTGGATGCCTATGGCATCCCAAACAGCTCCCATGAGTGTCGGAACCAGGTAATAATAGTATGCTGTGGTGTGTGGCATCTTCCTCATACACAGCAAGCACATTTTATTTAGAGCCAATGTTGCCTAGAATCTCACAGTGTCATAAGCTTTAAATAAATCACAACAGCTATACCCCAGGAAGGTGGCCCATGGCTTTGGGGAGATTTTCCCACTTGCTTTGAGGAGCTCACGGAGCTCAACACTGGAATGGGGTGGGCAGGGCGGGGCACCTCTAGAATAAAGCCACTAAAAGTATAGCAACAACGAGAACTGTCAACCTCGTCAGCCCTAGCAGCAGGGTTAGCCACCATTTGAGAGCCTGGGATGAAAATAGTCTACACTGTCAAAACGATTCCTGCACTGGGATTTATCTGCTAAACATTCCCATGCTGCCAAAGGAGAAACTCGAGCTCTGGGGGAGCTGAAGAAGTAGCCAAAGTCAGGCCACAAATAGGAAGTGGAGAACCAAGATTTTCACCAACGCCGAAGCCTCACAAGGTCATTTTCTTATGTCCTTCTTGTCTAAGGTAACAGAATTGCTTCAACTGTTAAACTGAAACAATGATAGCACATTTCAAATATTTCATCCTCTCCCAGCAAAAAATTAAAGAGGCTGGAGAGATGGCTCGCGGGTTTAAAACACGCCTACTCTTTCAAAGGACGTGGGTTCAGCTCTTAGAACCTACATGGCAGCTCACAACTGTTTGTCACTTCAGTTCCAGGGGATCGGATACCTTCTCCTGGCCTCCCACAACACTGCACTCATATGGTACTGACTTACATCCAGGCAAAGTACACAAAATTAAATAACATAAATACATGAAATTAAAATTGAAAAGTAAATTAAATAAATAAAAAATTAAGTAAAATGTGAGGCTGACCATGGTATGGGTCAGGACTTTTATGTTGTGGATCATACCAGAAACTAGTATGGAGGTTTTTTTTAAATAATGTGGTTATCAAAGTGACTATAATGTGCAGGGTGCTTTAGCTTATTAATGCCATGTTAAAGAAAATTCACAAGAAAATCACAGAGATGACTGTAAAACAGTTCATAATGGAATCATGAACTGAAATATAGAACCAACTCAAACATTCAAGAGGTTAATTGTTACTGCACTTACACCAGGTGACTCATTAAAACTGATCTCTGTGGTATGTGACAAAATGGGATTTCAATATTTACAAGTATTCTTACTTCAAAAGCCACACATGGCAATGTTTCCTCATTAGACTCGAGCGAATTTCACATCAGCCTCGAGTTGTGAAAATAACTATGCTTACAACCAGGGGAAAACACATGGCTCACAATTGCATCCTTGCTGACACTATGAGAGCCTAGTTAGCAGTTAGTTTACAGGCTGCAACATGGCCTTTTTTTCTGGCTTTCTGTTTTGATGTACAGTGGGCTTCAAAAGCCACAGGACTGTACTATCACTGTGATATAAAACAGGAGTGTGTAGGTAGCTCATGGCTGACTGCATACGGTCCTGCACGCCATACACAGGGATTTCACTGAATACATTTTACAAAATCTGTGGCTCCTCAAAAGGGAGTATGAGACGCTCAATGTAGTTAAATGTGTTTAAGTTATAGGGATGTATGTCCAACCAAGGGGACCTGGGCGGGGGTGAGGGGCCAGGAAAATACAGAGCTGCCGAGCTAATACAAGGGGTTAAAAACTACATCTTAAGACAGTTTTATAATTAAAGATGATCCAATTTAAAATAACATCTATACTTTAAATTAAATCTATCTAATAAAATGTCCTCTTCTGTGTTAGAAGGCTCATCAGCCATGCTTCCCAAATGCCTTGTCATATGCAGTTATTTACTGATACCTTAAGGCCTGAATTTTAACTTAAAACCCAACCACTGTAAAATTCCGGTATGTCTCATCATTCCTTTTCAAATGCAAAGATTTTTATCTATTCATGCTTAAAGTGGTCACTTGCCTGAATTAAAAGCTGTAAATAGACTCTTTCTTGAAGGACCTAGAATGTGAAAGAGACATAAAACACGAGTTTTATTGGAAATACTAGGCAAAACTCAAGCCATTTTGTAAATAAGAGTGCTTTCATTTTTTTTCAAAAGCCCTCAATTACCCTCTAATTTTTAGGTTCCAGCTCACCACTGAGAAAATCGCAAGATGCAAACAACTTTATCAAGCACACTTCTTGAAGTATAGATGATGCTGTAAATACCTAATTTGTTAATAATAAGAATGATGTTCATTAACCACTATGAACTAAGTATCAGTTTTCAAAAGGACAAGGCATGGTATATTTTGCAGTCAAGGACCAAAGTTCATTTAAATCATAATTTATTTGTTATTTATTTTAATATCTGAATCCCGGGTCCCACACATTAGGAGAACACTCCACCCTTAAGCTACACACAGGCTGGCCAGGAGACGCATCATTTAGCAATACTAAACCCATACTTTCCCTATTCTACTGCACATAGGAAACAGGTGACTTTGTGCAAGAGGGCTGTGGGTGTGCGCCTCCCCAAGGGGCTGCCTTCTATTCAGCAGCTGTGAGGAAGAAATACACTGGAGCTTTTTCTCCAGACTGGTGCAATATAAAAATGCAGCCAGGAACCAGACAGGTAGACACTTGCAGAGCTCCAAGAGCCTGTATGTGACATCAAACGGTCAAGTGACTAGCCATCTGGAGCTGACTGTCTAGAACTGCCATAGTCCATCTGTGGAATTTTAAAGAGAAGATAATCTCTTGAGTGTATGTGGCCATCATAAATGGAAAGCAGGGACTCCCTCTCAAATCAAGCCTCTATGAGATACTTGCAGGCCTTTTAGCCGTCAGCTTGCCCGGTTTTGCAGTTATCAGTGGGGTCTCTAATCATCCTCTGAAAGTCACCTCTGGGTCAAAGCTCCACCACAGGGTTTACTTTTAGTTACTGTTGAGGGGTAGTGTATGGCTTAAAAAGCCACGGTGTCCAACATTAATGTCATCCTAGCAGGGGCCCTCTGATACCTTAAAGCTGTATATAAGACAAAAATGATCCTGATAGCACAATGAATAACCTACCCCTAAACAGGACTCCCCCAACCCTATATTTTTGTTCACTTTTCCCCTTCAACCAAGAAAAAAAAAAAAAAAAAAAAAAGAGCATTGCTTGTAGGCTAGGTCAGAAACCTCAAGCCATCACAGGGTCTTTTACATACGAGGAATACATACATACAGAGATTAAACCATTGTGCTCACTTTCCTTGAAACAAAAGCAGGTCTGTTTTTTGATTGAAAATAAACCATGTTTACATGCAGAGAGAAAAACTGGGAGGGGATGCCGAAGTGGCTGCTGGCTACTTTTCCAATTTTCTGATATAAATATGGGTCTCCCCTATTCTTCCAGCTAAACAGGCTTTCAAGGACCTATGAGCAGAGCTCTGCCATGCTCTCAGCTGTGACAAGGCTGCTGCTTGGAAACACTGCAGGTTAAGTATACACAGATATTGCACACTGATGCTCTCTTGGTAGCCACAGCACTTGCAAAGTGACTGTCACAGAAGGATCATACACAAAGAGCTAACAGACATGAACCACGGGCGCAGATAGGAAATAAGCCATGCTCCTCATTCCTCCATCTCATTTAAGGGGATCATCCTAGAATAAGTAAATGCTAGGTTTGTTAGCGTCCCCGGACATCTCCGTTCTACCTGCTGATTTCTGAGATTTGCTTTAATTCTTATTTTATGTGATGGGTGTTTCACCTGCATGCATGTCTGTGTGCATGTGCGTGCAGGACCTGTGCAGCCTGGGATATAAAGTGAAAACAGCATCAGATCCCCTGAACAGGAGATACATGCGGCTGTTAGCCACTATACGGGTGCTGGGAATTGGACCTGGGTCTTCCGAAAGACCGGTCAGTGCTGTTAACCACTGAGTCATCTCTCTAGCCCCTACCTGTTCACTTTTATTATTTGATTTTATCTATAGAATTTGCACACTTGAAACAAGAGAATCTCATTGCTAAGATTTTCTTACTCAACAAGCATTTAAACATAGAAATAATTGTTATATGTACCATAAACCTACTTGTCAAAATTTGATTCCCTTAAAGCCACAGAGTTTAAAATTCTTTAGCTTTCTTTTCATCACCATGAAGACAATACCTTTTGGAGGAGTTTTGAGCAAGTGTGCATGAGCTCTGGGGACCAAAGGCTTCAGATATAAGGCTCCTGACCCATTCTGGAAGGCTTGTTTGGGAGCTTTCTCTTCATACTTGATGACAGCAGCATTACCAGCTATAACGAAACAGAAAATCACATCCATTTAACACACAAATACAAGCCCCCAAATTCATCCCAGAGAGACTACAATACCACAACAATTACTGAGGCTCAAGAATGCAGAGGTAGTTTCTGGCCTAAATTATGCAAAATAAATGCTGTTCCCAGAATGCAGAAAGATACATTTTGTTTCCTTGTATAGTCCCCAAGTTTATGCACATTTCCAGCTGGCTTTTATCTCAGAAGGTGGAAGATAAATGGCCACCCATGCTGTGTAACAAACACACCCAAAGCATACACAGGAAAGCATCCCTCTCTCTGTGAAACAATACAGACTCTAAGTGGCAGGTGTCAATGAAGTTTAAAAAAAAATTGGTAACAGACAAAATCCTCAGGGACTTCAAGGATAAAATCTGGTCTCCAAAGAAGCTGAAGTGAGAAGTCGGGATGCCAGCATTTACCCTATTACAAAGGTGAAAAAATACATGAAGAGACTCATGTATGTAGTGAAAATCATCTATATGAAAACACAAAATCTCTCCACTGCTTACAGCCCTGAACCTTTATTTTCTCTAAGAAATTGTCAACACATAATTCTAGGCATCCAGTTTTATCCCACCATTCAATACTGTATTCGTCCAGGTCCCCCACTCCCACCCCAGTATAGAATGCTCCATGAGTTACTGTCTCTGCATCATTTTAATTTTAGTATATGCGCTGTGGAGCAGGGTTGTAAATGGTTTCATTACTGACTTTGACCCCTTTCTTCATACTGTAGGCAAAGGGTGATACATTTCTCTTGCTCACAAACAAATAATTAACGTGAGGTCAACAGTTAGTTATTCCTTAGGCTAAACGACCTCAGCCCCCACTGACAATGCACACACACACACACACACACACACACACACACACAGATGCTTTCCTAGTCCTCACACAGTATCAGTACCCTGAACCATCTGTTAGCTCACCTCATGCCCAGATAGCATTCCTAATATTAGATCAGCACAAATGTGCCCTCCTGCTGGCAAGCTTCTGCCTAGTTTCTGCACTGCTTTCCAATTCTTGACTTGCCCAGAACCTACAGAGTGGGGCTTTCCAAACTTGGAAGGATGCTAATGGACAAGGTAGAGTACCATTCGACATAACATGTTAGAGAACACAGTGAGGCAACAGTACCAACATTTCATGTCAAGTGGGCATTGGGTTTCAGTTGGTGTTTTACTGACTCGAATCCCATCAAAGAAGCCCCTTTTGTTAAAACAACTGGACTTCAGACTTGCTAGGCTTGGAGCAACTTTTTTTCCTCTCAGCAACATGTTAGTCACTTGTACCAATTTTGAAAACTGAAATTCAGTTCAATTTATGAACAAGATATAAGATGTTCCACAACTCTCGATGCATGCCTCACTTTTCTGACCTTTAGATACAAAGATCTGCTGCTTACAAAGAACAATTAAAAGAATTTCTCACTGAAGTGAACAACGTGTATCTTACGGCTACTCGCCTCCTAGAACAGTAGACTCTGTTCTGGAAATAAAACTACCTTGTCACTACTCTTGTTTTTCAAGACAGGGTTTCTCTGTGTAGCTTTGGAGGCTGTCCTGGAACTAGCTCTCGTAGACCAGGCTGGTCTCAAACTCACAGAGATCCACCTTCCTCTGCCTCCTGAGTGCTGGGATTAAAGGCGTGTGCCACCACTGCCCGGGCCTTGGCTCTACTCTAGAAGGCTCATTATTGACAGCAGCACTCGATTCCATCAACCTTGGGAAAGAGTCAAAAACCCGTATCTCAAGGATAAAATATACTGGTCTCAGACACAAATATACATAAACATTCTTATAAACACACATTTATATGAAGTGTGGGGGGGGCAAATATTCACACTCTAGGACTATCCATTGTATGAGCACCAATTTTACCAGATGGAATAAGGCGAACATACTTGTATGACCTAACACTTAAGTATTTCTCAATTTTCCAAGCACTTTACTGTTGGCTGGCACATTGCTTTTCAATAAATTCCAACTTGGAAGATTGAATGCTACTCCGAGGCCTGAGGTTCTTGAAGTGTTTCTGTACCTTCTACTCAGTTCCTAGCATGGTGTCTGACACAGCATCCTGTCAGCTTCTAATAGTGTCCTCATCCAGAGCTGTCCTATTTTAATGTCCTCCTAAATTGTAGCTGTCTGATTAGGCTATAGCAACAGATTTTTTCTCTAGATTCTTTATTTTCATTTCCCCAGCACAGGGTATGTTGCAAGTGGACTAAGAAATGGAGATGACAGAACCCAAAGAGAATGTAGTGATAGTTTCAGAAGCAGCAATTTCCTCCTAGCAAAGAGCTTCTCGTTGGTCCCAGTGTTGGACTTGCAAACTAGCATTTCTTACTACACTCTGGTGTCTAAGTTGAAATGAGTTTTTGTTTTATTGAGCTACATGCATCAACACTCTGCTCATTTCTGGAATTCTTTGTGAATTGGCTTAATGCTCTCCACTGTGCCAGATTATCTGCTACCTCATTTAAAATCAAATCACTCAAAATTCTAAACTTCTAAAGTTCAAAAGCAAATATTCAGCTTTGTAATTACAAGAATGTCTTATACACATCATAGAAAGATACTAAAAGGCAACAAAGATTAATAGTCATATGCATATTGCCTCATGAAGTAGTCCATTCAGAAGGATGTGCATACCAACCTGTCTTGTGACCTACAGTCAGCACCACACACTGCCCACCTCTATTCTTTGCCTGTGCCAGACATCACTAGTCAAACACCAACCTTTTCCTCTGAACCTGGAGGCAGCCTGAGATAGGATTGACACTATGGGTTCTTATCAACTTTCTCATGTTGACAGATATGGCCAGCCATACTCACTAACCATTCTTGCCACAAGAAAACCAAAACTCAGGATCAGCAAGATTCATCCTCCTGCTCACTTGGTCAGTTGGGCAAATCAAAGTGCATTCCTTCCAAATGATGAGGCATCGTTGTACCGCGGTGAAGAAAATGAATCAGAGGCATGCTGCTGGAAGGATGCTGAAGTTGGTCCAGTTCTTCCTTCCCATTCAGACCCAAAAACTAACGCTAAAAGATGACTATACAACTCACTATGAGTTAATAGAAACTAGAGCAAGTCCCAGGTGAGGGCCCATTCCTATAGATCATTTCCTGTTAGCCAGGCTGCCACCAAAGTAGAAGAGAGGATGGCCCAGTTCTTTATTTAGTCTTTCTGATCTATTGCTGAGAGAGTGCAAATAGCTTTAGTTTGCCTCTGTCATTGCCCCATACCATCTGTCTCTCAAAAATAAACATGCTTTGTGGCCAAAGGGAAAGAGGAAGGAAATCTCTAGTCTTCATAGTCCTGCTAATGTGGCAAAACTACTTTCTCAAGATCTGCTTCCAAATTGCACAATGAGCTGTCTCATTTGGTATAGAAACTGCATTCAATCTTTACACTAATATATCCAAAGGAGGTCATCATTTTTTTTTGCTTTAATTTTTTCCTATGTACTCATAAAAAAAAAACCTCATCAACTCCCAGATATGAAAAAATTGCCTTATACATCTTTGTTCAAACCACATATAACTGGTAACATTGTTTCTGAGGATCCCCAAGTCCCAAGGACCAGAATCCAATTTCCCAACAGCACTATGCTTATCTATAAAATTCTTAACTGATGCCACTAACACCACATCATAAAGAGAAAGCAGGCAAAGGAAGGGAGCACCGTCCTTCAAAGTGCTCCAGTGTTGAAGCTGACCAGGAGGCACAATCTCCAGCAAAAGATTAATTTCTTTCCTAACGAGACCCCCATACCACAGCAGCAAGACAATTTTGGCTCAAAATGATTTTTTTTCATATTTTAAGGTAGCTTTTTTTTTAAAAAAGCACTTACACATTTAACACTTCTTTATGAATCATATATTAACTGCAATTGAAGAAGACAACCAAAAATCTGATGCTTTCGATTAAATTCTAAGGAAGTAATTTTTCTACATTTGCACAACTGCCAATCACATACACAAAACCTACAGATATTAAATCAAATAGTCATTGGTAATAGGATAAAATCAAAACAGAGCATTGAAAAGCTGAATTATAATTTAAGTCTCCAAACACAGAAAACACACAATAAAACCAGTTCCCAACAGATCCTTTCCCATCTTAAATACACATAAATACAACCGAGAAACACCACAATCAACAGAAATCACAAGTAGCAAAGCTAACAACCAAGAGGTTCTAAAAATCAATTTATTTAGTAAAAATTTAAGCATGCTTACAAAGCAAAGAATCAAACGAGAAGAGAAATAGTCGACCTACTTCTTTTCCTAGTAAGCGTGGCTAACAAAGGAATTATACAAAGGCTGTAGGATCCCACGACCAGCAGTGCCAATAAGGTAGCATCATAGTGCCTTTCTGAGCCAGCCGGGGGTGTGAGTGTAGAATTGATAAAGATCTTTGAAGAAATCTCAGTTTCTGTACAACTGCGAAATCCTCCTGGTATAGTCATTTAAAAGGATCGAAGCAAGCTCAGGCAGGGGAAACTGCAGCCATGTTCACGCTCACATCCCTCATGCTTGTTCTCAGTGAATTAGGATGGGGAGGGGGAGAACTGTAAGCTGCCAGGCACTACACAGAACAGATTAAACCCGGCTAGCAAATCAGACTGAGAAAGAGACTCACTGGTGTGAGTGCTTAAATCTGTAAGAGGGACTCACAGCCACTAGACAGGCTCTGTGGGGGCACGGGAAGCGCTTTTGTTAAAGGACAAAAAGGAAGGACAAAAGCATTTCGCAACCTCCTTGGGAGGGTCAGATGTGCTACTCCTGGACAGACAGGGGCCAAATCAACATGGCTGTTCAATAGAAAATGCTGGGTATGATACTATGGACTGTGTCTGCTCCCAGTGTCACACATTCTTCCATATGGCGGCTTTCAGGGCTTGGTGATTCTGTCAGGGTAGATTTTTGTTTTTAATTTTTAAACTTCCACTGTAGGACAAAGAA